AAGTGAGAGCAGGTGACTCTTGGATAAAAACAGCTTACTTTAGCTCTAAGTAAGGGGAATTTCAATCTAACATTCCTCCTGCCCTTTTAAAGAAAACTGGAGAGCATCAGGGCAGAAAAAACAGTGTATTGACTGCTCTGCCAAGATCTTGGTTATAAGCTGTCTTTGGCTAAAAGAAAAAAAAGTTAGTAGCACAACTGTGATGGTGTATCCCTCTAAGGCTGCAGGGCCTCCTCCTCTTCCCCTACAGACCCCTGAGCAAAGCTGGGTGTTTCTGATGTACTTAACTACAGAGCAATGTTTATTTCCCATGGTCAGTAAAGCAGGATGGGAGGATTCAAACCTGCTGCCACCCTGCCCAGAGACCACAGGCAAATCACTTGGCTGCTCCTCTGCACACTTTGTACCCTAGAAGCTTCACGCAGCAGTGTACACAAGGAAGCCTTGTCTCAGCCAGAGCCTCTAGATCCTACTCTAAATTGACAGTAATAATAGTTAAGGGCCACATAAAACCATATTAACTGTTTCCTTCCCTGGACACTTTGGAGCTGGCTGTGCTCTGTAGGCAAATTGGCAGTGACAGATGAGGAAGTGTGAGCTGTAGGCTGGTGCTAGATAGGCAGTGAATTCCCTTGTCTTATTCGTGACCCTTTTAATTTATAGATTTCGCTTGTAACCGCCGTAGCCATAGTTGAAAGTAGCATTTCCTCCCTCAGCATGCGTGGCGTTATTAATAACTTTGTGGATTCCATGTGTTCCCTAGACATGGAGAATGTTCCCTGGTTTCCAAAGAAGATCTCAGATTTGGATAAGTGTGCAAACAGAGTGCTGATGTACGGGTCTGATTTGGATGCTGACCATCCAGTAAGTATTTCTTCCTCCCATGCCCAATCTTTAGTAAAAATGTACTTTGTGGAGCTTACTTCAAAAAAAATTGGTTTTCCTCCTCCCTCTCCTTCCCCTCAATGGCGCCTCTGTGGGTCTCAGCACCTTCTCTTGGGAGTTTCTTGTCTTTTTCCTAGTTCAGGCAAGGCTGTCACTGCCTTCAGCTCCTGTGCTTTTCTGCAGGCTTATTCATGTGAGAACTCCAGGTCTGGGCCCTGTATGGTTGCATATAAATGTAAAAAAAAAAAAAAAGGAAAAAGATGTTTTGAGGCAGACTTAGTTCCTCTTTCTTTTTTCCTTACTATAAATGGAGCAAACAAAGTGGTACTTGAGCAGTGCAAACAGGCAGTTAGTTCGGTAATTTAGAATAATCAAGCAAGTAAGGAAGTTTGTATAAATACTAAAATGAATACTCATCTGCTGAATATATAGTTGCATCTATAAAACCTCTGACCCTTTGGAGTATTTGCTTAGTTCAGTTATTAAACTTTTCCATCTACAGCTATGATGTTCCTGCCCTGTCCTCTCATTCTTACGCTGCATACTTTTGTATTTTCCAACCAAAGAATTTTCAAGTGTCTTGTTTTAAATGAATTTATTTACTGCAGATTGGAAAGTAATTTAACTTTTTTTTCCTCACCAGGGTTTCAAAGACAACGTCTATCGCAAGAGGCGAAAGTATTTTGCAGACCTGGCTATGAGCTACAAATAGTAAGCACAACTGCTTCCACAATAAGCCTTCTGGGTGCCTAGAAATAATAGTGAAGTGGACTGGCAGGAGCTCACCTTCCCTGGACTCAGATCTCACTGAGATATGCTTGGCTTGGGAATCAGAGCTGGAGGGGCAAAATGAAAGGAGATGTAAGACAAGATTAAAAGATATATCTAGGCCATCTTCCAGCCCCCTGGGCCTCTGATGGTGGTGAGGATCATCTTGTGGTTGCTCAGCCACTGATGGCACCTGTGGCAGGGCTGATCCTCAGATGGGCAGCAATGTTGGCATGGGCTTCCTGCGGTGTGGTGTGGGGTGCTTGGGCTCTGTGGTCACTCCCAGCTACTCCAGAAACAGGTGCAACAAGCAAAGGGGGTGAACAGAGCATGTTGCACAGCTTGTGCCAGGACTTACTGACTCAGTTATGGCAGACTGGTCTCCTTTGAGAAGAAGAGGGAGGGGAGACAAAACCCAGTATGTAGCCCATGAAGTCTCTGGGCAAACGTTAATACTTGAGTTTTCTGGTTCACACTAGTGCATGTGATGTGTAGAAAATAAGTTTTCCATTAAAAGAGACTTGAAGAGCTTCTGTCTTTAGAGATGCTGTTTGGGGAAGGAGCTCTCAAAGGAGTAGGAGCTTCATAGCCCAGTGTTGAAAATTCTTTCTTTTGTGCTGCTGTTGCCTGCTTGAATTTAGGTGCCCAGTTCCTCAATTGGAAACGACCAAGAAATGGTGTATTGAGAACTGAGTGTTAAAGCAACTGGTTACCACAGTACAGAGCTGGTTACTGTTAATGTGCTGTTAACAGAGATTCCTTTGGGAAAGCACCTGTCATACTGGTTACCTGGCTGGCAGTGGAAGATCAGGGTAACACTCCCATTGCTTTCAGTGGCCTTTAGGTGACACTCTTGCTATAATCCACTTAAATCAAGATGTTAAGTGCTAAATAGAAGAGATGGACTAGAAATAATAGGTTGACAGTTATCTCCTTTGCAGAACAGTATAATTTTTACCTAGTATGTATATCTAGCTGCTTGCACGTCGTGTATGTTCTCTTATTCTAAACCAAATCAAAATGATAATGGAAAGTAATTTCAGACAGTGAAGTCAAACAGGAAAAATGATCTGTTCGCATCTCCTGAAGCTGTAAAGGTTTTGCAGCTATTTTATATGTTACTCTCTGCATTAAGCTTCTAAGAAACTTTGCAGAACTGAAGCTTTCAGTTAATGCAAAAGTTCATGGTAGCTGATTTCTGTGAAAAAGAGAGCAATCCCTTAGACTATAAGCTGTCCTGGACATATACCAGATCTCACTGTGTATTTGACAGTGCCTAATGCACCCTGGCTGGGTATCACAGCCATATAGATGTTAAATTAGTAGTAGGTAAATGAATCACCTGTTATTAGCCATTTAACAAAGAATGTCCTTTCTTCCTCTTCTCCTTTTAGTGGTGACCCAATTCCCAAGATTGAATTCACTGAGGAGGAGATCAAGACTTGGGGAACTGTGTACCGAGAGCTTAACAAACTTTACCCAACTCATGCCTGCAGAGAGTACCTTAAAAACTTACCCTTGCTCACCAAATACTGTGGGTACAGGGAAGACAATATCCCCCAGCTGGAAGATGTCTCCCGCTTCCTGAAAGGTAATGTGCTGGTTGTTGTTCACAAAAAGGAAATAAGGTCCATTGCAAATCACATTGCTATTTTGTGGGCACAAGAAAACATCCATGGTCACTTTTGCTTGTATTCATTCTGGTCCTTTAAGAGGCCTTTTGGCTATCTGTGTTTCAATGTATTGTGTCTTGAATACATACAGTGACACCTGAGGGGCAATGCTACCTCTGAAGAGACTGTTAGGATTGGCCAAAGAAGTAGGAAGCTGCACTTTGTTGCCTTGAGACATGAAATAGTAGGAAATCCACCTATACAGAGGTAGGGATATTCTTACTCCATGTTTGCCATTCTCAGGCTTAGGTCCGTTTTTTCTAATCATGCCTAACTTTTCCCTGTGCTCTTGAGCCAAGATAGGGCAGTGACTTTTACCACATTTGAACTAATGTACGATGTCTCCATTCCTTTTCAGAGCGCACAGGTTTCACCATTCGCCCTGTTGCTGGATATTTATCGCCCAGAGACTTCCTGGCAGGATTAGCATTCAGAGTTTTTCACTGCACTCAGTATGTTAGACACAGCTCGGACCCCCTCTATACACCAGAGCCGTGAGTCACTTAATCTTGGGGTAGAATTTGAGTAAGAGCTTTGAATCTCTCTGCCCAGATCAAAGCTGCTTAAAAGCTGTTCAGGACCATCAGTGAGGGAACTTACCTTTTTAAGGTGCTGAAGACTCAGCCTTCATGCTGACTAATGAAGTTTCAGCATGTTCAAGTGCCACCTTCATAACTATGGGATTTTTAAAAGTACAACATGTTATTAGTTTAATATTCAGTTGCCTCATGTGGAGCTCAGATCAGCTTCATTTGAAAATCTGAGTTTATGTACTTATGTAGAGCTGGTATGACCTGCTCAATTGCTTTTAGCTAATCATGATTGAAACTTTTCTATCTTTTGGATATTAAATAGTATAACATAGGACATTGTGTCTGTTCAGTGGTGCTACTTTTTCACTCTACTACAAAGGCAGATCCTGAGTTTTCTTGTTTTGTTTCTTTTTCCAGTGATACCTGCCATGAGCTCCTAGGCCATGTCCCTCTTTTGGCTGAACCCAGTTTTGCTCAGTTCTCCCAGGAAATTGGTCTTGCATCACTAGGGGCATCAGATGAGGCTGTGCAAAAACTGGCAACGGTGAGTGTTTCAGTGCCTGGTGATCCCACTAAAAGCTTTACTATGCTGATCCCACTCCATGGAATAAGTTTGGAGCATCACATCAACATTATCCATACCAGCTGCTTAGACCTATGTGTTGCACTGCTTCTTGGCTTTTAGAGCATATAGGAATTTTCCATCCTAGGAAAAAAATACATTTAATGTTGATAAGACTTGGTATTTTTCTTCACTTGGCTGTCAAGTAAGGACACAACTTCTGGTGGTAGATTACTTCTTCCAGGTTGAAATTCCATTATTTCTTTCTTCCAAACAAAATCTTTTTACTCTGGGAACATGATAAAATTATTTTAAAAGTAACCCATTTCTTCAATGTGTAGAATTAATTTAAATTGTATGGTGTTTTCATGGAATATGGAGAGCACTAGCATTATTTTTTCAGCCGAGAAATTAAAATAATATACATTTATTTCCTCGGTATTAGTTGCTGGATTCTTTGGCAAAAATGTTTCTAAGATGTAAATGAAAATTTAAATGAAAGATAATTTATGCCAGTTATGAAACAATTGGTTTGCTTCTTCCCCCCCCCACACACATAGTGTATCTAGTAGTAACATTTCTACTACCTTCAGTGGGAGCAGACTTAAGCCATCTATGAAAATAGCATTCCTCCTCAGAGGAACTGGCAGAAACTCTGAAATCCAGCAAACTAAACATCTTTAATGTTACAGGCCATTAAGCAAATGAGAAACAAACTGTAGTGAACTGATGTTTTCACTCACAGCTAGTGTTCTTTTAAGCTGAAGCTGTCAAATCATGACAATATTTTTCAAAACAGATTTACATCTCAGTGTTACTACTGATGTTAACAGCTTCTAGCCTAGTTGGGTGATCTATAATATAAATCTTTCTTATGAGAAACATGCAATCCTGTGGTTCTTCACCCTTCCTTTCTTGCCCCCTTCCTCTTTAAATGTTTGACAAGGATAACCAAATGATGACTGATAGTTGCAGCTGTTTGACACTCCCTACAAATAGAAGTGTGCTTGTATAGTTCATCACAGCATCTTTGCTGAAGACTGAATTATTTTACTCCCATCTCTATTTCAGTGCTATTTCTTCACTGTAGAGTTTGGCTTGTGCAAGCAAGAGGGACAGCTACGAGTTTATGGGGCTGGCTTGCTCTCTTCAATTAGTGAGCTCACAGCATTCCTCCTCAGAGGAACTGGCAGAATGAAATCCAGCAAACTAAACATCTTTAGTGTTACAGGCCATTAAGCAAATGAGAAACAAACTGTAGTGAACTGATGTTTTCACTCACAGCTAGTGTTCTTTTAAGCTGAAGCTGTCAAATCATGACAATATTTTTCAAAACAGATTTACATCTCAGTGTTACTACTGATGTTAACAGCTTCTAGCCTAGTTGGGTGATCTATAATATAAATCTTTCTTATGAGAAACATGCAATCCTGTGGTTCTTCACCCTTCCTTTCTTGCCCCCTTCCTCTTTAAATGTTTGACAAGGATAACCAAATGATGACTGATAGTTGCAGCTGTTTGACACTCCCTACAAATAGAAGTGTGCTTGTATAGTTCATCACAGCATCTTTGCTGAAGACTGAATTATTTTACTCCCATCTCTATTTCAGTGCTATTTCTTCACTGTAGAGTTTGGCTTGTGCAAGCAAGAGGGACAGCTACGAGTTTATGGGGCTGGCTTGCTCTCTTCAATTAGTGAGCTCAAGGTAAGAATATCTACTGCTTATTTACCTCTTTTCTTTGTGCTTGATTATTATTGTCACTGTTGCCCTGCTTTTTACAAAGTGTAATTCTAAAAATCTTTCTTTGGGAAACTATATACCTACCTAGACAATCTGCTTTTGGATATATGCTGAGGAGCTCCCATGTCTTTTGCAGGAAGCATTAAATGACTGGTATTTCTTAACAGAATCACTTAGGTTAGAAAAGACCTCTAAGATCATTGAGTCCAACTATTAACCCTACTCTACCAAGTCCAGCACTAAGCCATATCTCCAAGTGCCACATCTAGGTGACATTCAGGGATGGTGATTCTATCACCTGCCTGGGCAGCATGTTCCAATATCTGACAACCCTTTCAGTGAAGAAGTTCTTCCTAATGTCCAGTCTAAACCTCCCTTGGCACAGCTTGAGGCTATTCCCTCTTATTCTACCACCAGTTATTTGTGAGAAGAGACCAGCACCTACCTCTTCATAATGTCCTTTCAGGTAGTTGTAGAGGGTGATCAAAGTCTCTGCTCAGCCTCCTCTTCTTCAGACTAAACAGCTCCAGTTCCCTCAGCTGCTCCTCATAAGACTTATTCTCAAAGCCCTTCACCAGCTTCATTGCCCTTCTCTGGACATGCTTCAGCACCTCAATGTCTTTCTTGTATTGAGGTGCCCAAAACTGGACACAGTATTTGAGGTGTGGCCTCACCAAACATTAGGTTCCAAGTAACTGTTTTCATAATAATGCTCTGCTGGTTTAACCAGATTCTGATAATATTGGCCTTGTTTATGCATGAGCCTGTCTGAGGACTCCCTTTTTTGACCCAGATTGGCAGAATATGACTGTTTATAGTTATTCTGTTTGTTTAGCTTTAACCACTGTTCATCTGCAGATAAAACTATTAAAGAAGCAGTGCACTAAATATTGTCTTATTTTTTTTTTTTTTATTCACTTTATCTCATGTAATCTTCCTCGTGGATTATTTTGGTGCTGATGTTCTTCTGACACTTAACACACTATATGACCAGCACTCGCTCTCTGGCAGTGCTAAAGTCAAGCCTTTTGATCCAAAGACCACCTGCAAGCAAGAATGCCTCATTACAACTTTCCAGGAGGTTTACTTTGTTTCTGAAACTTTTGAAGAAGCAAAGGAAAAGATGAGGTACAGATTTACAGATTTTTTTCTCTGTTTTATAAAAGCAGGTTTGTTTTCATGCCTATCTCAGTAGCAGCACCAAACACTTCTATTCTTATAACAATTTTATAATTATCTCTCATGGGGCTAGAAAACTGAGCTTAAGTATTTGCTTGGTCTTTTGTGTATTGGTTGGGAAAGATGATGAACTATATAAAACTACAGTTGTTTTTTTTAAGAAACTAGTTTAGAAAAGTGGTTATTGATACTGGTTGCATACAAAGGATGCCTTTCTGTTTTGTAAGTAACTTTTTTTTTTTTTTTTACTTGAATAGAGAGTTTGCAAAAACCATCAAGCGTCCATTTGGTGTGAAGTACAATCCATATACTCAAAGTGTGCAAATCTTGAAAGACATGAAGAGCATTGCCAGCGTGGTGAATGAGCTACGTCATGAGCTGGACATTGTCAGTGATGCCCTCAGCAAGATGGGCAAGCAGCTGGAAGTTTAACACCCCTGTCAGCAGTGTGGTGCACTTGGCAACTCTTTTCTTTCCCCTGTTGATTTCTTTCTAGGCATGTGATGTGTTGTGTGCAGAACTCTCTCCTTTACAACTGGAAGAGTGAATGGCCCATAAGGATAATCACTCTATCTTGTTTGTCTGTGTGAAATCTCTTACAGAATATATTCCTCCATCCCCCTTGGATAAAAAAAGGCCCAGAGTTGCCTTTGAGAAGCTAGTGGGGGAGCAGAGAAATTGCTAGTCTGGAGCAAAAGTGTGGTGTGTGGGTCAGAGCTGGGATCAGATGCTGCAGAAGGTGGCTTATAAGGCAATAATGGAATAATTCACCAGAGGAAAATGTCTGTTTATTACTGTAGTAACCTACACTACTAATTTTATGAGATTGCTATATGCTCAGATAGTTGGGATTTTTCTTGTTCTTGATACTGCACCTGAGGGAAGACCTTTCCTTAAAGTAATACCTTTTACTTTTTTCTCTGATTGAATTACTTTAGCAAAAAATATATATCAAGCCATCAGGCACTGACTTAGCACAGAGACTAAAACAATTTTCAAGTTACACTTTAATATTCAAATTAATTTAATTGGTTCTCAAATAGTACTGGTGTTTAAAATAACAGCCAACATTCACAGTCTAGCCTGGCTTTTTGTAAGATGAAGTATCCTATTGATTGCTTGGTCATTTCATGGACCTGCACAAGCTGCACAAAGATACATTTTGTTTCTTCTTTACTAGGCGTGAATACCTTTGTTTCCTACCAAGCGTAACTGAAAGGCCCAAGCATTTCATAGCAATTTTGTGGTTATTAATGCAACAAACTACCTTGTAGCATAAAGTATATCCAATTCCAAAGAGCACTTTACAAGTG